CAAGAAGATGCCAACTAATCTGGCCTGAATGCTGCTTGGCACTGGAGTTCCTTGGCCTGGGGAACCGGCTGCCTATTTGTCTTTCTTCTGTTCATTGGATGCCTACCAGTCACATTGGACTGGTACCCACAAGCAAGGGACACCACTGGTTGAACAAGGAGAAACAATTAAGGGTTATTTTCTTTCATGGTCACGTAACAGCAGCTCCTCCTTTGGAGTTTGCGTTGTTTTAATTGGAGTCATTTAGACTCCAATTTTCAGAATGTGATACCCTGCAGATGAGCCCTTCCAAGATCATCACCCACTGTTCTTTTTCCAGTGTCTGAACAGTACATTATGACTTTGTAAATGATGCCATTATTTATGATGCTACTATCCTCCCCCTTCTTTCTCATTATTTCTGTAACATTTGTCATCCTATGTTAACACCTAGACATATTGCCATTAAAACTTTCTGTGCCATTGTGGGGTTGCTAAATGGCACACAGATCAGGAGCAGAAATGGGTAAAGCAGAGCAGAGTCTGGGTCTAGTCCTGCTGGATCACAGATGAGCCAGGTGATTTTGTGGAAACCACTTTCTTTCCTCAGCCTTTCATCTTCATCTGTAAAGGAAGGGTTGACAGTGCTTGCTAGTCTCTATGATTCTGCCAGTCTTCACACTCTAGCGTTCTGTGACTCCAGCTAATGAGGGTTTATCATAACCCAGTGTTTCTCAAAGTTATCATGAAGGTGTCATGTTTCCAGGAAGATGAAATGAAGCATAGAGGCTGGGAGGCTAGGACCAAGAACTGTGATTGACTCACACATTTTTGCTTCCATACCCAGTCACCCTGACTCTGAAATTGTTGAACTGAACTAATTACCAGTGCTGAGCTGGAATTTGAGAACTCCATTTTTGTCTTCACTGTCTTATAGAGTAAACTAGAAGCACTGGTGGAAAAACTCACGTAGGAGACCAACTTTGGTAGGAAAATGGTTTTCTCCTGTATTGGGGCCATTGAGAGCAAACTTTGCTGTAACTTTGTAGCTAAAATGTGACTATAGTGGCCAAGTCTTCACTAGGATGGCTCCCAGTGTCCCCCATCATAAGTCTACAGATGAGCCCCATATCAGAAATGAAAAGTCAGATGTTCCCAATGGAGAGGACATTAAGTGATGAGACATAAGTGGTATCACTTGAAATCATAATTTTCAATTTCCCCTTGGAATCTAGAGGCCTCAACAGCGGAGGTAACAATTCTGAATCTCCACCAGCGATGATGTTGATGGTGTTCGAGGATAAACTCATGTTCTGTCCATCTTGGTCTGGCCAACGATGGATGGAGGACAGGGAGAAGCAACATCCAGTTGCCTTCCCATTTTAAAAAGCATCATTGTCATCATCACAAAGATAGGGATCTGAGAAGAAAGTGAGGTTGGGAATAGAAATAGTGAGGAGTTCAGAGAAGTCCCTGAGTGTGAAGGTTTGGACAGAGGAGCTAGTGGAATGAGGGGACTCTGATTGGGACCAGGCAGCACTAGCCATTTTCCAAGCCTGATCTCAGCTCAATCTCCCCTTCCTAGGAGAGGAAAAATGAAGGCAAGGAAGAGATACGGATATAAAGAGTGCAAGTAAGGAAGGAAACAGTCCATTGTTGTCTTTTCTCACCTTTGGAAAGTTCCTGAGGCAAATACAGTTATGAGTCCCTCTCCTAACCCCAGGTAGCACCTGCTGAAGGAGAATCACTCCCAAAGCAGGACGAACACTACAAATAGGAGGAACGCATCCCATGACCTGCCCCTGTGGGACTGCCAGATTGGGAGTAGGCAAATCGTGCTAGGTTTAGGCATATCTAGGTGCCATCTAATAGGATAAACCAAATTTATGGGAAGGCTTCTGGTCCAGAAGAATCTCTCACTTACTGTCTGAAGAGAGATTTACTCAGATTAGCAAAACATTATCCCTGGAGGGTTAACGCTGGAGACTGACATTTAAGTCTGAGTGTAAATTCATTTTAACCATCTCTCTTCATCACTCTATACCCCAGATACAGTAAGGAAATAGGTGTTTTGAGCAGGGTACCCAGTATTTACCTCTGAAGCTGTGGACATGGCAGGAAGGCCACAGTAGAGTGGGCCCAAGAGCTCAGTGCTGAGTCAGCTCTGAGGGGAAGAGGGATGAGGGGAGGGACTAAAAGGATATTTGAGATTTATATTTATACATGCAGATCAGGGCTCTGTAAGCAGAAAGAGTGTCCTTGAAGGAAATGGGGGAAATTCCAAGGATCCCAAATCACTTTATTAGCATTCTATTCACAATTCATATATTTTTCTTTTTCTTTTAATTAAAATTCTTAAAATAAGAGAAATGCACTCCCCTCTCTGGCTGATTTATAGAATACAATGAAACTCTCTATATAGAATATAGTGAATTCTCAGACAAGGTAGTTTCCGGTGTTCCCTGCTCATATATTCTCCTTAAGCCCAGGTCAAGGCATGCCTTTGTGAAGTGGGTTCCCTAATTGTGTCGCTATTGTATTAGGAAGATACATTGGACAATATATTGCCATCATCATGTCAGAAGAACTTTTTCTTGAACTGATTACAATCACTCAAAACCACCAGTCCTGTTGGCCTTGGCCACTTTCTCAACATCTTACATGAAGTTTAAAAAAACATCTTTCCACAAAATAAATGGACAAACAAAATTGAAACAGACTCATAGACATGGAGAGAGGACTGGCGGTTGCCAGAAAGGAGGGCATTGGGGGACTGGGTGAAAGAGGTGAAGGGATTAAGAAGTATAAATTGGTGGTTACAGAATAGTCACGGGGATGTAAAGCACAGCACAAGGAACGTAGTCAATAACATTGTAATCACTACATATGGGGTCACGTGTTACTTGAAATATTGGGGGGATCTTTTTGTAAAGCATAGGATTGTCTAACCACTAAACTGTATACCTGAAACCAATACAAATTTTAAAAAGAGAAAAATCATCTTTCCAATTTAGCTTCCCACAGCTGTACACCACATCACTCCCTCTTCACCATCTTCTTTCCCAAGAGATGCATTATTCAAATCTGTTTTGAGATTCTATAAAGGAACATGGGCCCGACAACCAGACTGTCCAATTTCAAATCTCTCCTCTACCGGCAACTATCTGTCTGAGTGACCTTAGTTAAGTTATTCGACCTCATTAAACCACTGTTTCCTCATTTGTAAAATGGAGATGTTGCTAACGATGATGAAATTGTATGTAAAGTGTTTAGCACAGGCCTGGCTCAAACCAGGCACTCAATATAAGTAAATCCTATTATAACTACAAGAAAACCTTAAAAACTTTGGAGCTAAAGAATAATAATTTCTCACTTCACAACCATTGCGTGTGTGTGTTGGGGGGGGGTTAATTTCTTTGAGACACACTCAACTTAGCAGGGAGTATGCTTCAGAGATAATAAATGCTCCATTGACCACTGTACACTCCTTCTTCTCTGCAATAGTTAAGTGCATTCTTTGTTTATAAGATCCTCTACTAAATTTTAAGGTGTTGTTTGCTAGAATAAGGACACCCATCAGTTTGTCATGACTCTAATGGGTCCACAGAGCTGAGAGAAAAAGAAAGACATGAAATCAAGGCCTTAAGCGGAACAAAAGACAAAAGCTGTGCAGAGAATAAAGAACCCTGGACTGGGAGTTCTAGATCCCTTTACCCATCACTATATAGTAGCATAGCTAGCAGGTGGGCGAGAACCTCTTTAATCTCATGTTTTTAACTTAGAAATTAAGTAATTGAATAGGATAATCCCTAAGACTGTTCCCCCTGTAAGGTCCCATGGTTTTGTTCTGCTGCGAACAGCTATGTGACAGTTACCGTACAAGGTTTAAAGAAGTCTGAAACTAACGAACAAGACCTGAGTAGGTAAAGAGGATGGGACCCAACTTAAGAAGACAAAAATGAAGTGAGTTCGAAACGTCTGGTTAGAGTAAAAGTGTTGTTAGAAAGCTAGACTAGGTTGAGTTCTGTGGAGGAGCCTGAATGTCAAGCAATTGACAAGCATTTTAGAAGCATCTGGCAGCCGTTGGAGTATGCTGAGCAGGGAAGCGTATTGTAACATCAAAAGGCATCATAGAAGAAAAATACAGATGCTCCTCAACTTATAATGGAGCTGCATCCCAATAAACCTATCGTGAGTTGAAAAAATCATAAATCAAAAATGCATTGAGCACTCCTAGCCTACAAAAAAACATAGTTTAGCCCTAGCCGACCTTAAATGTGTTCAGAACACTTACATTAGCCTACGGTTGGGCAAAATCATCTTGCTGTCACTGCCCAGCAAGCCCGAGGAAAGATCACAATTCAAAATTCAAAGTGCAGTTTCTGCTGAATTTGTACCATCAAAAAAGTGTAAGTCTAAACATAGTAGGTCAGTGGCTGCACTTACAGTATAATTGCAAATCACTGGCCAAAAGTTGGCAAAGCCAATATTTTGTCAATTTTGGATTCTCATTAAAATGTGCAATTCCACTATTCAGGAGAGAGGGAATTCTTAACTAATTAGGCTGTGTCTGTGTAACATTGCTTTAAAGAACAGAGGGAATACTCAAATAACCCCATTTTTATATGGATTATTTGAATGAATTCCAATTCATTTTTAAATTCAGGCAAAACTGCTTGCATATGGAGGCTCCACCTAAGTTTCAAGTTTTCATTATGCAAAGCTTCATAGCAGACGTGAGCGAATGTGTATTACTGAGAACCAGTGCGGCCCTACCTGCTGGGTCTGCTCCCGTGATTGACGTTCACACGTGGACCAATGAGAGTGGTCTCTGAGGATGGTGCAGAGTTACATTCATCAGGTCTAGTAAGTCAAGTGTGTAAAACTCAAATGCACTTGGAATCACTTGAAACTTTTAAAAAAATATAAAAGGATGTTGGTTGGTTGCTTTGCTTGTGTTCCTAGACCATTGGCCTGTTGGACTGCAAATAACATGTATGAATCTATGTGTTTTCTTCCAGGGTCTTTCTTCCCGGACTCCAAGCCCTCCGAAACAGTTTTTAAAATAGCATTTTGGCTCGGATACCTAAATAGCTGCATCAACCCCATTATATACCCATGCTCCAGTCAAGAGTTTAAAAAGGCCTTTCAGAATGTCCTGAGAATCCAGTGTTTCCGCAGAAAGCAGTCTTCCAAACGGGTCCTGGGCTACACCCTGCACCCGCCCAGCCATGGTCCGGAGGGGCAGCACAAGAACCTGGTGCGCATCCCCGTGGGCTCAGGAGAGACCTTCTATAAGATCTCCAAGACCGACGGGGTCTGTGAATGGAAGGTTTTGTCTTCCCTGCCTCGTGGATCGGCCAGGATTACAGTGCCCAAAGACCAGTCAGCCTGCACGACAGCCCGGGTGAGAAGTAAAAGCTTTTTGCAGGTCTGCTGCTGCATGGGGCCCACGACCCCCAGCCATGGAGAGAACCATCAAGTTCCAACCATTAAGATCCACACCATCTCCCTCAGTGAAAACGGGGAGGAAGTCTAGAGGACAGGAAAGGTCAGAAGGAAGGGGGGATAATCTTAGGCATGTTCACTCTTCTTGGATGACAAGACAGGGCCCTCTAACCAGGGACCATCTGGGAATGGGGTGGGAAAGAAGACCGACACTTGGGCAGTGGGTAGGGCTCAGGGAGCAGGGAAGATGTCACACGACCATTCAGTTCAAAAGGGGGACAAATAGCACTTCCTTGAGGCTAATGCTCTCTTGGGCATCCTCTGAGCCCGCTCTCCACGTCTGGCCCCTTCATCGAAAAACACCATGGGAAACAATTTCATGCACAACCCAAAAGACTATAAATATAGGATCATGATTTCATCACGAATATTTTCAGCACACACTCTAAGTTTGGAGCTAGTTCTTGATGGAGTGAGGGGATTTTATTTTCAGGCTAAACTAACTGACAGTCGTGTTGGCTTTTTATGGGGAGAGGGCCGGAGAGGAAGAGCCTTAAGATGGTTGGTGGCTGATATCGGGCACATTATTTTTAGAGCAAGTTTTAAACTTCACCATTTCTGATACATCCAGTGTCTCAGCTTAGGTGAAACTTGACAGTGAGATTTACTTTTTACGGCAATTTGAGCGGATGCTGCTCCTGATTCCCTAAGGATGAGGGTGAGGGGCACTCATGTCTCTGCACTAAAGGAGGCACATCCTCTAGGCTTGGGTCTAGAGAGTGTCCTAAGAACCAGTCAGTGAAAGCATGCCTTTTCCTAATGGAAGACAGTGCAGATGAGGGTCATATTTTACCTTAACTACTATGGACAAAATTCCATTAAGCAGTTCCAAGATCAGATAGAGGAAGTCTTCTCGTGTAACATATTTAAAGATCAACGTTGGGGTGGGACAGGTGCTAATTTTCATGCTAAAAGAGAGGATGCAAAATTACTCCACTGCCTTTTTGACGTGGCCTAGAAAGATCCTTCTTACCTTTTTCAGAACTTCATTATGAAAGTCCACAGCTGACAATATTTTGAAAGGCATATCTTGACTTCCATTTTTTTCTCTTGGCTGCTTCACTACTGCATAATGAATGGGGGTCAAGGTCTCCAGTGCGCCTGTAGCATGTTGAAATGAGCCTTAAGATCCAAGGGCATCCTTCCTGAAATTTGAGTGATACACATGCTTAGTTTGGGAGCCTACTGACTAAAAGCCTGCCAAAAGCAGGAGTTTGCAAAGAGTTTTTGAAAGATGTCCATTTATTCTGGTAAAAGATCCAATATCCCATTCCCTTCATCTATTTCCACTTTCTACAGGTACTTTGGGAACATGATGTCTTTTGTTTTATGTATACCAGATTTTGTTAAACCTTAATAACTCAGTATATTTACTAAAGATGAAGATGGTAACCATATGTAAAAATTAAAATGTTTTTCATATTTCACAGTATGAATTTAAAATGAGATTTATGGTTTTGGAATAATTATTGACTAGAATCGCTGGTCTAAAACTACAGATCATTTCAGTAGCCTCTTCCCCCATATTTGGGTAATGTCCTCTAAAAATTTTGAAGTAGATTGTAGCCATTATTTAAATGGCAAAAGTAGTAGCCAACACCATCTATTTCTTCTTCCCTTGCAGCAAAATGAGAATTTCCTTAAATCCTTCTGAAAGGCTAATGTTCCATGGAGGGTATGTTTGTATGTAGATTGGCGTTTGGTTGTTGGCTGTGTTCGGACACAGAATATTACCACTTTCTCAGCCCTTTTTTGGAGAGTGTCTTCTCGTTGACCAGATAGACATTCTGCCTTGTGCTCGTAATTTGGACTCCAACATTAGATGTTGGCTGGATTTTTAGACTCCTCTGGTCTGTCCGCATGTCCCATAACAGCTCTACCAGATGTGGGTGTCCTATTATGGATGTAGGCACCAGGGAAGGATGTGAATATGCAAAGCTCGCTGTTCTCTGCCTTAATAGGAAAAATAAGTTTCATTGTTGAGAAGGACTTCTTTCAGAATCTGAATTTTAAAGACCACTTGTGCCAGGCTCCCCCATGTAGGAAGAGCATCCCCAAGAAAGAATGATATTAGTTTTTCTTCAGCAAAATATGTCTCCATGTTTGAGATGACCTTTAAGCATCTTTACAGACAAATTTAAATATTAGATATCAGGACGTTTAAGATCACCAGAAAGCTAGCATTAATGCCAGTGCTAATCAGAATAAACAACTAGAGAATCTTTCCGTCATCAGACAAAAGCCATGACAATTGCAGTCCTGTAAGATGATCCATAAATAATTGTCTGCTACACTCTGCTCCAACCCCACTCCCTCCAGGGAGGCAAACTTTAACATTTTTTTCCTTTCCCATAACATGGTATTATGTACAAACACGCCAGTTTTACAAGAAATGAATAGTGACACCCAAGATTTAGCCAAAGTGGGATAACAATGTCTAAGTTATTTTTTACTCATCCACAAAAGTCTCTGTACCTTTGAGCATGCCAAAAATGATCTAAAATGGTCACAGTTAAACAAATGATTGTCATATTTATATTTACATATTTACTGCATCTATTTGGAGTTTGAAGAATTTGTCCAGAGCAACAGTGGTCAAAATGTCTTCTCTCATGTGTTATGAAAAGCAGTTGCTTTGGAATTGTCTCAACATCACAAAAAGTCAACTTGACACGATAAGACAGGCAAAATCTGGGTTTCTTCTGCAATTCAAATGCATGCATTAAGAGAGACCCTGAATCTCTTTATTCAAAAATATCCTCAAATTTTTACAAGGGTTTCAGGAAAGCATTTTACTTGTCACAGTTTTCTTCCTTTTGCCTCTGCCGTGTCTCATCCAAGATTGCTCCTGCCTGTGATCACTCAGTGTATGCTAACACTCTCCAAAATATTAAGGCTTTTAACTCTCTTACCACTTACTGGAATTGGTCCATCCATGGTAGACAGTGATATTTGGCTAAATAAATACTTTCTTAAGGCTTTTTTGTTAGTTACTACTGTGTGCCAGGCATTACCAGGGCTTTTTGCATTCATTATCTCTAAACCTCAAAGCAAGTCCACTATTCATATTTTAGAGATTAAAACCTGATAGTTGAGAGTGATTAAGGACTGGCCCAAAGCCAAGGAGGAACCATGATTCAATCCTGGTTCTCCCTGACACTAAAATCTGTATGTTTTTTCCCCCTCACAGGACCTCTGCCTCATAAGTAGTGGGGGTAAAAGTCCCCAGGTTGGGACTAGGTAGGCTAAGGATACTAAACTATACCCGAACTTTTCAATGTTTTGTTTCCTTGGGATTTGCTTGCCAATAAACCTTGGTAAATATGCTGCCAAATCTTTGTCCCAGCCAAACCCAACAGTAGGTCACAAATGAAAGTATTTGGTGCCTATAATTCTATCAGACTGCACCACTTTCCTAGGGAACATGGCCTGGAATGTTATTCAGGCCTTGCAAGAAGGACATATTATATCAAATTGGGAGAAGATGGACATATAAGAGAATGCAGAAGCTGCATTGGCCTAGAATAGCAAAACACATGCGTGGGTACGAAATACATCGATCGTATAGTGTGCTGACATTCTTGACTGCCAACCACAGTTAACTGGCACACTTTCAAGAAGTATATCCCTTTTTAAAGTAAATAAAAACAAATACGACATCAATCTTATCAGCTGTATTCCAACATTTTTTTTTTGAGTTGGAGAAAGAGAAAAGAAATTATAAACATTTCACCAAGATTACACAATCTTTGAAGATGGAGAATTGGTTGGTGGCTGTGGCAACTGATTAGATGACATCCCCTTGGTCCTGGATTTCCTTTTACAAATGAACGCTTTATATCCTGAGTGACTTAGCACCTCTGCCCCTTCACAGGGAACCATCATGCAGACCTTCTGGCCCAGTAGGTTTCATGCTTGTGGCCTGGGAGAACATTTTAAGAACTATTTGCTTGGGAAAGTAATTATTCAGTCTTTAATCACAGCTACTTAATCACAGCTTGACACACATTTTCACTTGCTTCTGGGGCTGGTTCTGCTCAGGTCCTCTTGCTAAAAGAAATGCTGCCTCTGCCTACGAGGACTTGTTGACTTAATTAAGGAAAGAGCTCTGCTTATCAGCAAAGGGAGAAGGGAGCCCAGGCGCATGGAAGGTAAACTCTGCAAGCAAAAACAGGGTGATGACAAAGAAGGCCGAGGTGGTAACTGTGGAGACAACATCGGATGTATGCTCACTTGTTACTCTGATTTCTTTTTACACTACTAGGACTTTTAACTAGGAAACCACCTGCACACAGCTCTGGTCAAGCCGGTTGGAACACTGTTGGCAACTGCTCCCTGTCTACAAAGTGTGCCGCGGAGCAGGCCTGAGCCCAGGCCGCTGTGGGGTCCACCATCTTCACAAAGCAATGGCAGCAATGGCCTCCTGGCCTCCAAAGTCTTTGCAAGGGGGTGACTATTGTGGGGCTGGGCTGGCAAAAGCAAGTCAGGACTTCAGCAGAGGACACCCAGCCCCTGGCCAGTGCTCCCATCAGCGTTACCTCATTCATGCTTCCCAGACCCAAATGTCATCGGGGCTGAGGACTGACCTTCTCTGCTCTGGGAAGGAAAATGTTATTTCTCCTTTCTCCTGCAGCATAGATTACTGATTGTCCCTCCTAAAAGGAAGGTTATGAACAGTTGGGGGGGCTGTTGAGGAGGAGAAAGAAGACTTACCGTAGACATTGCTCAAGCAGGATGGATGGTTCAGGAATACTTGCTGCAACTGATAAGCAAGGAGCTGTCCTAAAGCTACGCTTGTTCATTTTCAAAGACGATGTACTTGTCTTTCCTTTTTGTGTGACTGGGGAGTTATTACATTATTTTCCTGCTGTGTCATAGTCAACATTGCCACCTTATCAGCTGGAAGTGATTACTGCTAAACTATGAAAAATACAGACTTAATTAGGTAAAAAAAAAAAACACACCTCTAAGAGCAAACTTATACTGTATCTAGAGAAAAAAATAATAAAGACGCTGACCTTTTAAAAAGCCTAAATAATAGTAGGTGCATTCAGATGCAATATTAAATAAGTGAAGACAGAAAATCCCAACATGAGTTTAATATTTCCTCCCATTTATACAATACTTCATACCTTTTATAGTACTTCTGCCTCTCTCAAGTCATTCCTACGTATTATTCCGTCATAGAGATTATCTGTACTTAGTATATGAAGAAATGAGGGTGGGGGGTTAGGGAGAGGTTTAAGGATTTCTTTGACTAGCCCCAAATCTAGACTCTGACTCTTTTTCCGTGAGCCTCAATATCCCCAAGGTCCACTGAGTTTCTCGAGACCCCGACTTTCATATTTCACTAACGCGTCTCTGATCCACATTTTCAGCTCCATTTGAACTTCTCTCCTGGTACAACTCAGCAGCTGGGCAGTACAAGATTGTTCTAGGGGCTGAGTGCATATTTGTCGATGCTCCTCTCATTGGCTAAACGACAAGCTGATGTAATTCTTCTCTTTCTCCCTAGATAGTCAGCAGCAGAGCTAAGGAAATAAGGCAGAGAGCTCTTGTCTCGCTCAAAGGGGTGACACATAAGGTAAAGCCAGCAGTGATTGACACCTTAAGGACCTCAGGAATGCAAAGGCCCCAAAGGGAATTTCAGGGCCCTCCTTTCCCAGGGAGCCTAAGAGTTATCGTATACACCCGGACGATCACCATCAGCAAACTGTTCACCTCCTCTCCTGCACTAGATGCACTTGGCACGAAAAATACAGAGAGGCACAGGCAGTCCCTAGCTAATGAGCTGGGTGTGTTCCAAGCTCATCTGTTGCAAGTCAGGAATGCTTTTTTCTTCCAAGAGGCATTGCTAGACATGGGGAAGGGGAAGGATGTTTCCAGTTGAATGAAAGAATAAAGATCTATTTAATGGATATCAAGGGTTTGAATACTTTTTCTGTAAATAGCTAGGCATTTAGGCATTGTGGGGCCATACTGTCTCTGTCATATTCTGCTTTGCTTAAATTTTTTGGGGGGAGGACAATCATCTATAAATGTAGAAACCAGCCTTCGTTCACACGCATGGGCCAGATTTAGCCCATGGGCCGTAATTTGCCATCCCTGATCTGTACAACTGCCAGCTCATACTGTTGTGAAAATAATGCTAAGCAGTGGATTTTGGTATTGAACATACAAACATCTTTTATTAATATGCCATTGACACATCTCCACTTGACTAGCTTAATGTTCCCAACCTGCATGAGTAGTTAGGTATAAAGTGACAAGTTCATAATCAGGGGTGGAATCTGCTCCATATGACCTGTCCACCCAAAAGATACACTTAGTCTATCATTGTGACTTTCTACAGAGGCATCAGGATGAGAGGGAAGCACCCACCACTCCTCCCACTGTTGTATTTTGTAGAACAGGTCAGCAGAATCCCAGGGGAGCCCACGGCGATCTCTCAACTCTTCACCTCATTGGCAAAATCCCCCAGCACAACCTGGCTGACTCTGAGAGGAGCAACAACCAGTAGGTGCCATTTGACCAGGGCTGATGTGAAATCCCTCCAGAATCCCAGACCCTGCTGAAGTGACCCCCAGGGGCCTTCAGGCCAAGTGTGGCTCCTGGGGAAGGCATCCTGACCACAGCACCTGCACCAGGGCCTTGGAATGTGTGCCTGGAACTCATTACAAAGTGGGAAAGAGGAAGAGGTGCTGGGGCGGGGCGGTGGGGGGCTCCCCAAAGACAAATACGTACTAGTTTCTAGCAGGTTTCTTCTCATTTTCTTTCTTTTCCTACTTTTCTTTTTTATTTAAGGCTGAACTTGCTTAACTTGGCTCGAAATGGAGTCCCTATGGGGTGATGAGGCCATATTTCTCCGAGCTAGCACTTCGTTGGGGGGACCTGTTCCCTGTTCTCTCTCCAGTCTTGATGGGCAGCGAGGGCTCCAGGTGGGGCCTGGAGGGGTGATGGGCACAGAACTGGCACAGAAGGAAGTGGAAGGATCAATGGCAGTAATAGCACCACTGTCACGCGGGGCTCAGCAAGGAAGGCTTGGGCCACCTCGGTGCGGCAGCTTCCCTTCCCTCTTCCTGGCCCGTCTTGCGCTTGTCCCTTTATTCTTTCCATCTCCTGTCCTTATCTCTTCCTGCCTCCACAATTCTAACCTCCCCTTCTTGCCAAACTTACAGGGGGTGACTGACGTTGGGGTGGGTGCCCTCGCTCCTGTGGGTGCCAGTTCCCGTGGGATAGAGTGTCCCGTGCATGGCCCTAGGTGACAAGGTGGGGTTTCCCAAAGCCCCTGCAAACCCTCCCCACATCGGGCATTAGGCCTGATGCTGCAACATGACTCTTGCGCCCCCCTACACACAGCCTGGAGGGACGCAGGCAGGGGCCGGCCTGCAGGGTGCGGGCAGCTCGGGTCCTTCCCCCTCTGCCCACAATGCCCTCTTTCTGCCCTTTCCTGTTAGCTCCAAAGGAGAGATACAAACACATGGGCAGCCACCTCTGAGAAAGAGCTGGGAGTCAGGAGTGGGCTCTGCCCCTCCCCCAGGGGTGCGCCTCTTACCAGCGGCCACCCCCCACTCCCTGACGGCTTAAAACCCTCTGACAATTTGCCAAGCCCACAGTCACCTCTCCTCCTCTTCCTCTTCATCCTGTCGCTTGTCTTTGTGGCTTTTCCCCCTTTCATTTTCCCTTAGGCCCTTCAGAGCCTTGACTAACCTTGTAAAGTGAACCGGGTTTCACGTTACCATCAGGCGGTGCCAACCGAGTGCACAGAACTCAGCCCGGTGGAAGGTCCCTTCTTTCCTGGTGCTCCCGCCCTGTCCCTGTCCCACCGGCCCACCAGCTCCTGGAACTTGCCCCAGACTCCCTCTACTCCCTCATCACATCCAGGATTCATTCTTCTCCAAGCAAAGGGCCCTCTTCTCCCAAGCGTGCCCCTGCTTTTGCTGACAGCCCCACGCACTTGTAATCGCCCTGTCGCTAGTGTGCTCGGGCTGTCGTGGCCAAGCACCGCAGGCTGGGGCTGTAACAGACGAGATTTCTTCTCGCAGTTCTAGCGGCTGGACGTCTGAGATCAAGGTGTCAGCAGGTTGTTCCTCCCGAGGCCTCTTTGGCTTGCAGAGGGCTGCCTTCTCCCCATGTCCTCACATGGCCTTCCCTCTGTGTGCCTGTGTCCTAATCTCTTCTCAGAAGGACACCAGTCAGATTGGATCAGGGCCCATCCCAATGACCTTATTTTAACCTTAATTACGTCTTTAAAGGTCTTATCTCCAAATACAGTCACATTCTGAGGTACTAGGTGTTAGGATATCAACACATGAGATTTGGGGGGGGGACACAATTCAGCCCATAACAATTTTCTCCCCATTCTCTCCTTTTAGCTCATAAAAATTTACCCACAAATCTTTTCCCAGATCAGATGTTCCAGTTCAGCCTTTCCTGAACACCCTCTCCAAGTTCCTACAGAAATGGTCTGTAAATGCATCTGGCAACTAATGGTGCATCTTATTGTGATCTTTCTGTTGCTTTTAAAAATCTTTATTTTTTTCACTTTAAAATGTACTTTACACTGTATCTACATAGGTTCTATCTTCTCAACTAGATTAAAACTCAGGAGGGCAGGAACTATCATTTTGTATGCCCATAGCAGTCCTCAGCTCCTGGGTGATCATACCTGAGGACCAGAACCCCTCTGATTAGTAATAAAAGATAGGGGACAAAGAGGGACAAGATCCAAGCACTAGTTACAGGCAGGGGCTGGGACAGCAGGTCCACAGGACTTAGAAATACCAGATGACCCACCAGGAAGGCTCAGGGAATAGTTGACAGCACTGGGCTTCTGAAAAGTCGCAGTGAGATTCTCATCAGGGGTGCAGAGCACAGCAGTGGGGAGTCCCAGGTTAGTGCCATCTCAGGTCAGGCAGGCATGGGATCCCCCAGGAGACACCGGCACCCAGGAAAGCAGAATACCATCCCTGAATGAGACAGGCCCTAGACTGTGTGAGCAAGGGTAGACCCCAAGATGCCATCAGGAACCAGTGTCAGAACCCAGTCCTGGGAGATGGGTCACTGAGGAGCACATGGGAGGCTGTGATCACCACAGGTCCCCAATTTGGCCATGGGTGAGTTGTCTACAGTAAGGTGGTACATCAGCTTCAGTCCAATCTAGAAATTAAAAGAGGAGATACCATGTGACAAGGCAGGACCTTCAAAAATATTAAGTGTATTGAAGCCAAAACCATCCAAAACAGGTTTGAATGAGTGTAGCAATGGTTTATTGATTTATCCACTTAAAAAAATACTTATCTTTCTTCCCCACTCTGGCCTCCATTCCTCTTGCTAAACCCCAGCCTTATCTTTCATAATGAAAAGATTTCAGCTCTGCAGCTTGGCTAATTAAAGTCTCAAGGGTTGGAAAGACCTTGCTTGGCCCATTAATCAAATGCTTCTCAGTCCACAGCCCCTCCCTCACCCAGGCCCTGTGTCTGAGCAGAGTGATTTTCATTGTAAAGAGCAGGGACAGAGGGAGCCTTGATGAATGGGGAGGCAAATGAGCAGCTTTAATCAAAAATAAAAACGCCCAAATTTAGTTTAAGTAAGAAGACTATTAAAAAGTAAGCCGATAAAGTACTTTTAAGAGCAAAACAGGCAAGTACAATAAATATTTAAATAACAAGTTATTGCTAGTTTTCTACATACTTTCTTAAAGAGGGTAAACATTTATTAGGGAGCAGTTGAATAAAAAAGTGGGGTCCCATGCTTGCTTTTTTCTCCAACAGCTCACCGGACCCTCTCTTCTGAACATCACACTCCACCCTGATACCTAAACTTCAGCACATGAGCACTGACATTCTGCAACAGAAATTTTGTTTCAGCTTTTCAAGCCTGATCCAAACACATGCTGTCTTCATCAATGTGGAGGAAGGAAAATGGATTATTTTTGTATCTGGGTGTAAACTCACCCGCAGTCCACTATCCAGTATAACCTACCCATCCAGTATTGCAGACAAGGAAGTGAGTGCCTAGAAGCCACATGCCTGGGCCTAATTTCAGCCCCATTTCTGTGCCTAAGTGATCCTGGACAAGTCACTTGACCTCTCTTGGCCCCATTTTTCTTGCCTATGAAATGCTGTAGGCAAATGTAATTAGATTCAACATATGCAGTCATAGTAGACCCCAGTCTGCACTTCTGCTCCCAAATACTGTATAAATCAAACATTATTATAATTACCTTTAAGGTACTTCAGGCACTGAAAACTCCACCTGCGGGAACCACAGAGTCAGCCTGTTTCCTTTGCTCATTCTAGTTTAGGTTCACCAGTTTCCCAAAGTTGGTCATCACCAGTTCAAGACACAAATTACCCTTTCATCAGAAGAGAAGCACTAAACGGATATTATACCATTGCTTGGATGTTATCATTCCTAAATTTAGGGTGCTAGGCACCAAATTTCAATTTTCAGTTATTTCTCCCCCCTCCCCGTCTTGCTATTTTCTTTGGGTTGGAAATATCCCCACCAGAACATTGGTTTCAATTTTTAAAAATCAGATTCACTGTGTTACTTTGAAGCTTTTCACGGAGCTCCAGGACAGCCCAGAACAGGGGTGTCCA